CGGGGAGCGCCCCCCGCCACAGGGATGAAAGATGCAGTCTTCAGCTGAATGGCACCTTGGTCCACCTCTCAGAGGTTTGCTTATCTTAAATAACCATTGCAAAAAATGAAAAGAATTTATGTCCCACTGTATTTGTTTTTTTGGAGAGGTTTTTGCTATAGGGTGCCTGTGCTCGCCAGAAAGACAGAGATAGAGACAGAGAGCGAGAAATCACCCCCCAGGGGAGATGGCCACCCCGCAATCCCTTCTCCATTCTCCTCTCCGGATCTTGGGCATGCAGGCACACGCGACCCGCGGGAGTTTAAGCCACCCGGTCTGGGACTTGAGCTGCCATTGGCCTTGTGGGAATCCAGCACCCTAACCATCAGGCCATCTGCTAGTCCTGACATTTTATACCGTTTTTAAAAAGTGAGGATTTAGGCTTAAGCACAAAAAGGAGTGAAGTTAAGTAACACTCCACAGCGGAATCTGTTTTTACCCTTTGTCTACCTAAGATCAAGTCTAAGGCAAAGTACAGCCTAAGGCTTTATTTGGGCCAGGGTTGAGACAGTCACCCAGGGTCCTAACATTCAGGTTACTCTAAATTTTGTGCACTGATATGTGTGTGTGTATATATATTAAAAATCATTAATATTATAGAGATTATATATATATATATATTATATATGTATATATTATTGATTATTCTCTTCTTAAGAGAATTTCTTTGCTATAGATTAACAGTTAATCTCCTTTCCTAGCCATTTCCTGTGACATCTGGTGTCTTACAGACTCTGGAAAGACTACCTATTCTCAAGCTAAAAAATGTCTAGAGATAGTAAATGACTTGTCTGTGACCACTCTGTTTACAGAAAACCAGGCAATCCAGAGTCCATACCCTGATCTTCCACTTTATGGGACTCCTACATTCTTAGCCATGATTATCCCCCTTAAATATCTCAAGGTCAGTTACCAGACAACTAAGGTCAACCCCTAGTCCCAAGAGGCCCGTGAAATTATTCAATTATTGGGAACCAGCAGTTAGCGTAATGGCTATGTGCTGGACTCTGACGTAGTCGACTGCGGTTCGCGTCCCGGACCCGGTGGCTTAAAACTCACGCCAGGCACGTGTACGTGCGTGCCCAAGATCCCGAGAGGAGAATGGAGGAGAAGGAATTGCGGTGTGACCATCCCCCCTGGGGGGTGATTTCTCGCTTTCTGTCTCTATGTCTCTCTCTGTCTGGCGAGCGCACGCGCCCTATAGTGAAAAACCTCTCCAAAAAAAAAAAAATCAATTATTAGCCAATTCTAAACTTACTTACTGGCCTACTTCCCATCAGGCCATGGAGCTGGCCCTCTTAAGGGCTTTTAGAACTCAAAAGTGTACAGTCTTTGCATTAGAGCATTAGACAATTTTAATTGAATTCAAACACTTGTCTGATTTTTACAGAGATTCAGTGAGGGAAGAAAACAGAGAAAGCTTCTCCATGTTCCAGATGAGTACCTGAGGCACTGAAAGGAGATTAATATTTGTCAGAGGCCATCCATGGCTGAAAAACAGTGACCAGGAATTCAATAATTATAAATCTTAAAAAAGCATTGTAATCAGTAGAGATTGCAAAAGAGAGACCACATCACAGGATTATTTTGAGAACGACTTTGAAGGAAGAAAAAGAGACCGATCTTTGCTAGCAGATGGTATATCACAGAATACTTGGGCAGGGCTGAATTGAGAAGGTTTATGTGTGACTAGTGTGCTTGGCATTTGCTTTGCAACAATTTGAGTAGCTGACATGTAAATATTTTCTCAAAAATATTTAAAACCATACTATTTCTGTTGTTATAGAATCACAAAAAAAGTATACAAAATTATAAGAAATTTTTTGACCATTATCTTTAACATTCAATATTTTGAAATTTTGAAAGTTGTTTATTAACTGTCAAGAACCACAGAGTATGACTTACAATTTTCTTGATATGTAAAGTAAATGATTGTGGAAAATGTAAAAATAAATCAAAACAAAACAAAAAAGCACTTCCTATTAAAATATATAAACAATGTCAACCTTATACTTTCTCGAGTTATTTATACCACTATAATTATTATCCAGGCCCTCCAAGAGTTATTTTAAACCATTTTAAAACATACATTAATTTTAAAAATCATAATATTTTGCTTCTGTAACCAACAGCCAGTAGATTTGGAATGAAATATGAGTATTACAACTTCACTGAACATCAAATAACAATTTTAAGCTTCTGTTAAAATCAGTATAAGATTCCTCATAACAACCTTGATAAGCACTCTATCTCCACGTGGGAAATCTTCATAGCACAATTAGTTCTAACAATTTATTATAATATAAATGAGACTTGGATTGTGCTTGACTTGATTCTCTTCTGTTTCAGTATCTTTCCTATTTGAATAGAACATGCAATCAAAGGCACCACAAATAACCCTCATTAAAGAAAAACAAGAGTGAAACTTTTCTAGAGGAATACAGTGGCCCTCCCACATCGATTTTCCTGTAAATAGAACAGACAGTACTCAGTACAGGAGTGGTTCAATCACAGATAACCTACAAGCTGTTGGCTAAGTGTTATGAAAATTATACCAAATAGTTCCATCAAAACTCAT